AAAAAAAAAAAAAAAAAAAATGAAAAAAAGTAAAAAAAAAAGATACCTGACAACATCCCTGTTAAATTTTTAACCCTGTTTTGACTGTAGCTTTTAAATATTTTTTCTCTCGACTAGGATAAAGTTGGCTCTCTGTTTCAACGAGGTAAGTTGTACTCCTCTTGTTTCTCGTCGTGACTAATATCGCTGTTGTGTATAGCATGTTGCTTTGTTCCACTGTGTGTTCAAATTAAAAAAGTAACAGAATCGTGGTATACGCGCGAAACTCGAGGTTTGTACGTCCATGAAGAAAGCACACACCGAGAATTTAATTTAATATCGCGGAACACGACTTTTCCATCATCTAATTTGTTGGATGGTTCCCAGGTTTTTTAATAATTTAAATGCACGCAGATAATATGTTATTTCTCCGACATAAGCATTTCAAATAATAAAAGATACTACTTCTTGATATATGTATATTCTTGATGTATACGTATGTCTGTAAGATAATTTTGCATTCAGAATTATTCATTGACAATTATTTATGTTTAGTAATTACTTTTAGCTTCTATTAATATTCTATTTATGAATTGATCGATGTTATCGTGTACCAGAGCTCGTTTCTAGACGTTGGTGTAGTCTTTGTCTATTGTATTTTTGCATGTTATTATTTTCACGTATCATTCTGTGCACCAATCTTTATAAAGATTATTTTATAAAGACTTGAAAATTCCACAATTATATTTTTATTTGAATTAAGCCAAAAAAAAAAGGAAAACATAATTATTATACTAATATGAATAAAAAAAAAATTAAAATTGAGAAAAATTCTCTTACATTTACAGAGAATTGCTCGTCGTCTCTTAGCGGAAGGTAAAGCGTCGAATTACGACGAAGCGGAAGTAGCAGCCAGTTTGCTGGCTTTGAAGTTCGGAGACGTTGAGGCTCTTCAAGCGGCCAAAGAGTGTTCCAGTATAGAATCAGCATTAGCATTCTTACAACAGGAATGTGAACTTTGCACGGGTCGTTTTGCGATGAGTCAGGTATTCGAAATTGAATCGTGTTACATATTTTATCTCAGAATCCAAATTATAAATTCCTTTCTTAATCCCAGATAGTGTCCATGTTAAAATGCATTCATCGTTGTTGCAACGAGTGTGCAAAGAATTACTTCACTATCCAGATCAGTGACAGAAACATAACGGATGCAGTTTGTCCATTCTGTAAAGAGCCAAATCTTAAAGATGCGAATGAAGACGAGGTTCTCGAATATTTTAGTAACTTGGACATACAGTTGAAGACACTTCTAGATCCTCCGATTCACGAACTCTTTCAAAGGAAGCTGAGAGATAGAACATTAATGCAAGATCCGAATTTTAAATGGTGCATTCAGGTGTTTATTTCATACACATATTGTCATAATTTTCTTAATCCGAAGATTAATTGCAAAGAATATAATACACTTATCGTTTTTAGTGTTCAAGCGGATTTTATGCAGATCCAGATCAAAAGAGATTAATATGTCCCGATTGTCGATCAGTCACGTGTGCCCTATGTCGAAGGCCAGTACGTGATAACATTAATAATTAGAAGAAAATTAAATGGAAATTACATAAGCACGAGGAAACATCTTTTTTGATGTTGGTTTCGTTTTCAGTGGGAGAAACAGCACGAAGGAATTACGTGCGAGCAATTTGCTGCTTGGAAAGACGAGAATGACCCGGATAATCAAGCCGCTGGCTTAGCCAAGCACCTCGCGGATAATGGGATAGATTGTCCTAAATGCAAATTTCGTTACTCCTTGTCTAGAGGAGGTAAGTTGTTCGAACGAACACTCAAGATCTAATTACTCGAACCATAATGAATTTCCTGTAAAATACCGAATTACATTACAATATTACACGTTAATTTTACATGGGACTTGTTCAAATTAATCAATTAATATATAACATGATTCTTCCTATTTTAAATATTTTTATCTTTCAAATGACCGATCGTAAATAAAAAATATTTTGTATAGTAGTCGAATTTATCAATATCGAAAATATCATACGTTTTTTTAGGTTGTATGCATTTTACATGCAGTCAATGCAAGTACGAATTTTGCTGCGGTTGTGGTAAAGCGTTCATGATGGGAGCAAAATGCTCGGTAAGCCCGTATTGTGCAAAGCTGGGCCTTCACGCTCATCATCCACGGAACTGTCTGTTCTATCTTCGCGATAAGGAACCCGGCCAATTACAACAGCTGTTACGAGATAATGGAATCGAGTACGACACAGAGGGTCCAGCTGGCGAGCGCAAGTGCAAAGTGCAATTGCAAAAAGAAACTCCTACTGGTGTTGTAGACGCGGTATGCAATTCAGATGTTGTCGAGGGACACGCTGGTTTGTGCAGGTAATTTGTTTGTTCCCTTTTGCATGTATTCTCCATTATTACGATTATCATTTTTATAATCAAATATCGTTGAAATCCTATGGGTATTGCATTATGATTCTGCATTAAAAAATTCATAGCAGAAGGATCATCGTTATAACGTTTGTCTGGAATAAATGAAAAATAAATAATGTAAGTTATTCATCATAGACTAATGCTAATATTAGAAATTAATTCCTTTGAGTTTCAATTCTTCAAAGCCATTAATTTCCCCTTTTATTAATTACAAGAATCTTTTATTATCTTTTATTAATCTGTTATTATTGTTAAACTCTGAACAAAAGAAAATTAAAAATTTATAAAAAAAAAAATAAAAAGGTATATTATAAAAATAACAAAATAATAAATATTTCATCTTGAGAACACCGAATAGTTAGTTGCTTTTTAACGTATCCTTCGAATATTTAGGAACCACTATATCGAATACCTAGTTCGAAAAATCCGGATGATTCAACTGGAACCGCTTCCGTTACTAAACATAGACGATCTTGAGACATGCGTGAAACGTGCGGGGATCAAGTTACCCCCGAATTGGTACGGTCGTGATCCGGAACATTACAAGAGAGACTTGATCGAGGTAAATGAAGAAGCAGCGTGCATGGCACGACTAAATTCTGGGTACTTTTCCCCGCAGGCAGCACTACATAGAGTACTTGGCGGGTCTGGTACTGAAGGGCAAGCTGGATCCCGTGGCGATCTTTGACTTGAACGATGCCAAGCAAGAGCTGCGCCGTCGGGGAAAAGTTCCCCCTGCGAAGGACCAGGAAATGTCCGAGCGGGATTATCTCGAGGCGTGCATTCAGGTGACTAACAATTCCTCTCCTGCACTCCTGCCCCGACACACTGACCGAATTAACAAGAAATGCACGAAAGTAGATCTTCACACATGACTTTCGCAGCCAAAAAATGCGGTGTGCGTGTATTGAAAAAAAAAAGAAATCTGAAATTGTCGATATGAATTTTATTTTTTTTTCCTTTTTTTACTTCTATATTGGAATGAATATTAATTTTTGATACCATTAAAAATATTATATTTATTATGTTTAACATTTGGATGTTTTGCAGATCGTGCGCAAGGAAATTCCATTGGAGTGATAGAAGGGGAATAATTAATGCGCGATTTTACGTAACTCACGCTTTTTATGCATCATGTATAGTGTATTTATTTTATCATATGGACAGCGATGTAGAGAACAATTTACAATTAAACAAAGATTGAAAATTATTTAGTATTTAATGTAAAATATAATAAGTATTTTAAAAAAATAGGATTT